AATGTCTTGCTGATGGTTTCGTGCAAGCAATACTGCAAACAATCATATTTCTACCTTTTAAACTCAGTTCTGAAAGAAAATCCATGCATTTTATTCAACAAGTAGTTTTAGAAAAACACACCCACACACCTCAGCTCCAGTCACTTTATCTGAGCGGGTTTCTATCTGGATCTTTTCTGATTATTTTTTTTTTTTTAAGTAATGAAGAAGTAATAAATAAGTCTACAGTGTAGTTGGTGATGCCACACTGGATGCAGCTGTTCCAAGGGAAGTTTTTGCCTCTCTGATCTGCTCATAGCAGTGTTTCCTCACCAAGGAAGCTCGGTCCTTGCTGTTCCAGTACAGGCGGTTGTATGTACAGCTGGGCTTTAACGGAGCTGCATGACAGTTGGGCTGGACAATCTGGTCTGAGAAAGCATTTGGGAAAAAAAGATAGGACAGGGGAATCATCAAAAGTGATTAGGGATTGATTGTGCATGCAGTTACTCGTCAGAGCCAATGAGGAAATAATTGTAGTCAGGGAAGGGGAGGAGAAGAAGGAAAGGTTATGCCAAGCATGTATGAACAGAGTGGGATTTTGTAGTTTCTTGGCCTGGCTTGGCTTCAGACACAGCTGAGCTTGACTGAGAGTGCCTTATGTTAATGCAGTTAAAGTTGTGGACTTGAAATCCGGAACGTGCACAGTTGCTGTTATTACATTAGTAAGGCTTCGTATCCATGAGCTGATCCCTGGAAGTGCTTTTTGTTGTTTCCGGAGGTATGCTTTGACTTCTGTTCAAATATTGGAAAACCATTATTGCATTCCTGCAGTTCTTGAAATTTGACAGCAGATTCAGTCGTCAGAATGCAGGTACCTTCTTGTTGGGCCATAGGTGCTTAGAGAGCTGCAGGCAGTGGGCACCGTGGCACTACAGTCAGAAGGCTCTAGAGAAATGCTCAACTGCTGAGTTGCTAGATATCCTCTTAACCTCTTAAGCTCTGTCTCTTTCTAAGTTCAGACAAATGGGGCAGGAATTTATCTGTGTAGCTTGCATATGGACTTCTACATTCAGGTTGATGGGTCTCACATGCCATCTCTTTGGTTCCACTTGACCATTAGAGATCCTACATGCACATCTGCTGCAAGTGCAGAATGACATGGTTCCTGTGGTAGTAGGTAGGCCCAATACTATTCACCAGCTGTCAAATCCATGCTGATAAAGGCTTGCCACATCACACTAGTCAGTTGAACAGTCGTACAACTGCATGATACCCCTTAACTGTATGTTTTACAAATATGCTGAAATAAATTGTAAACTGCATTTAAAAAACAAAAAATAAAAATAAAAACCTTGGGCTTACGTGAGGAGAAAAAGGACTGTAAGAAGTGGGGGTACAAACCACCGGGGCCAAGGTGCCAGCGGACCTGAGCAATTCATCTACGTGAATGCTTAGTGCCTTTCTCAAAGTGCTCGACTAGATATGAAATACTGAGCATTGGAATGGAAGCAGTCAGTGGATGAAACAGGGGACGTTCTTGTGAGACATCTTAAAGCTCTCAAAATTTTACTAATATATTTTAATGAATGTTTTCAAACGTTTTGCAACTTGTCGTAAGGTTTCTGGCATTATATAAATGGTGTCATTTCTGCAACAGACTTGTTGCAGATTTGTTATTCTCATGTTTTCTCAGATTTTAATGGCTCTTTTCTTACTGTTTTGTTATGTCACTTTAAATGCTTTTCTGGTATGTGGTTAGAGTACAAAAAAATCTTGTACATCAAAACCTTTTTGAGACAGAAACTCCAAGATATCACTCCTTGTACCTGTAAGAATTATGAATATGTAGATCATCAGAAGATGAAGGGAAGGCATGGGTTTTGCACATGAATGCACTGATCTGAGTACTCACTTCCCCAGAGGCTTTTAGGAGACTATGCTTGCTCTAGTGAGAACTGCAGTATGATGAGCTTTCTTGAAGAAAAATAAGCTGCAGTGAGTAGTGTGACTAATCAGAGCATGAGGGAAGCCCTTCATGACACTTGCAAGCAATGGGATGGCCCCAGCAGAAACAGCATTTGATTTTTCTATGATTTCCATATTCTGTATTTCTAAGGATAGAGTATGCGGTCTCAGAGCAGGTCTGTGAGTGGATGATTCTTCTTTCTCCAAGGAAACTGAAACAAGTTTGAATGTGGACACTGGGCAATATGGCTCAATTTGTAAACAAATTAATGTGATCTTGCCTTGCATCCAGGTCTTTTGAGTCCTGGTAACCTCTGCATCTGTTGTCTCTAATGTAAGATGGTATTGTTTTCAGTACTGTGCAGATAGCAATAAAATGTAATTAATCAGCTCCTTTTAAAAAAAAAAAAATAAAATTGGCAATTGTTTTCTACACAGCATTACAAAAGACTTCAAAATGCTGAAATTAAGAAACATGATAAATTTTGCTGATTTTTATGGGCTGTATTTCTTTTGTGTAATGTAGTTTTCTGTTGTGCTTAGCTTTTTGATACAATTTTCAACCATAAGCTGATTCTACCAGACAAGGCCTAGATAGCCCGTCCTGCCAAATGATTACGTAGGTCATTGCTCCTCTCTAGAGAAGAGAGCAGTCTGACTGCTCGCATTATCATTATCAGCAGCCTAGTGATTATCCTAGGTCCTTCTGCTTGCATGCTGTGCATCTACTAGAAGTTCAGGCAGCCTTCAACTAAAGGGGTTGGTTATCTGTTGTGAAACTCAGGAACTAGAATCCTTGCCTTACCTCACACAGTAACTGCTTGATTACAGTCTGCAAGTAGTTGTGTCTGGCTTTCAGACTTCTTCATTAGGAGTTAATTTATATGCAAGTTTGGTTTCCAAAAAAACAACACACATGACTGATCCACCCTATCATACATTTTTATAATGATAAGGTGGTGCAGGCTCATCTAAAATTCCTTCCGAGGGCGGTGCCAGATTTTTACTTTAGTCATCGTAACCATCTTTTCCTTCCCTGTATTTTTGTTGCAGCAAGGCTTTGTTTACATGAGCTGGATCCTAATAGATCCTACTCCCACCCCTACCAGCACTTTGCAGTGTATTATAGATTATTATCACTAAAACTTCAGTTTTGTGGGGGGTTTTTCCAATTGTTTTATTTTCTTAAAGAAATGTTTCATTTTCTTCGTAATTCTATTATTTGAAGCAGCTTTCCTTATTGTTTCACTTTGTTTGCAGCTCATAGTATGGGGAGACAATTACTTCACACGCTGTTCTCTTGTCACTTCCTAGGAATGATGCAGTTTAGCTCATAGTCCAGCAAAGGTGACAGAGGGAGATGGGGAAGGCAGGAGATGTGTCAAGCAGGTTTGGGACCAGAGTGTCCAAGGGAAGGAACTGACTTCAGTCTCTATTTACCACTGAGGATAGAGTTGATGGAGCCTTCAGAAATTAGGTAGCGTGTGGATGGCTGATGGCTTAGCAAAGACAAGGAATAACACTGGGGAAGCAGTGATCTAGGCAAGAGAAAATTTGAGACAGGAGTCCTTGTTTCCCTTCTCATCCCTTCTTCACAACAAAAACTAAATATACCAGTGGGATTTTAAAGAATGCTGGAGAAGTAGAACATGTTGGGAAGAGCTGACAGCATCGGTAGTGAGGAGTCAGGGTGCTTTGTTTTGTTTGGTGCTGACATAACCATTTGTGTAATTGATCCAAGTGAAATACCATGCACTCTCGCTACCATGTACCTCCCCATGATGAAATCTAGGTAAAATGTTTGCAATCTACTCTGTCTATCTAGAAGGTCAGACAACACGATGCCATTAATAACTTCACCCACAGATGAGCAGTGGAGTAGTAATTCAGCTTTCTTCAGAGCTCCTATCCTATTCCTATCTGATAGCTATTTTCCTTAATAAATTTATGAGACTTTGTAGCATGCTTTCAGGATCACTGAGATTGAAGGCTTTTCTGCTGATAAACCTTCTATCATCAGCTAAGATCTCACCTAAAGCCGGAGACTAAATTGTGCTAACTCATGCAGTCATTATGCTTAACATCTGTGGGTTTACTTTTTGGTCAGGTGAAAATAGGGGAGAGTTAGAGAAGCCACAAAAAAAAACACAAATGTAGGGGAAACTGTTGTGTTCAGTTTTGACTGTATGGTGTGCAGTGGCTACCAGAAGCATGACAGGAAATTCACTGTTTCATTGACAATTCCAGTGAAAGTATTTGAAAAACCTGGTAGCTATCTACTATCCAGCTTGAGCTGTTCTGTTGCTTAATTTTTTTTTGACTGAATGCATAAATAAAGGGACAGAAACCTTTTAGCTGCAAGACATACATCTTCAAGATCCAATGGTTACTAACAATTTTTGCCAGAATTTACTTACGCACAGTATGTGATGATGAGGAGGGCTTCCACATTGTCTTGGAAGTAGAAACAGTTTTGGAAATATTGCCATCTCTAAGGAATTCTTAAGTAAATATAATACAGGAATTTAGTATGGAGCTAGAGTTTCTGTTGCCTGATTTTTATACAAGTGGGTTACAGGTCTTTGTTGAAAGTCAGTCTTCCAAATGTTGAATTTTTTAACTGGAAGTCAATCTTTCAGCAGTCTGTCTTTTCACCTGGAGTGAAAAAATGGAACTGATTCACCATATAGATTGGGTTCATCAAAGATTAGTTGTCTGTTTCATTATTATCATTTTGTGACAGCAGTCAAAGAACAGCCCATAAAGTGGGATGATTGTGTTCAGTCAATTAATTTTATAAAGGTATTTCTTAAAGAGCAAATAATACATAAGAAAACCATGAACTGCACAATTGGTCAATTTAGGTGTTACTATAAAGTCTTCAAGCTTTTTTAAAAATAAATGTAGCTTGTATGTTACACAGTGCTTCTGCTCTAAAATTTGGTAGCTTTGTTTAAATGTTTAAGTGTCTCAGTTGTGTTAAACAGTTCTTATACTTGTTCTAAATTAAATTCTTCTGGCAAATGATTTCTTATTTTGTTTCTATTGTGTTGCAGACTCTTCTACAGATTTTTGGTGTGGTGGCTGTGGCTGTGGCAGTGATTCCTTGGATACTCATTCCCTTAATTCCACTATTTATTCTTTTCATTTTTCTTCGACGATATTTCTTAGACACTTCAAGAGATATTAAACGTCTAGAATCCACAAGTATGTAGCTTGGTGGGACTGAATGTTAGTTTGGACCCTGCTTATTATTATGTGAAATGCTAGCATTTTACAGACAATCCACCAAAGATTCTTCTGTTATGCAAATGACTTCCTTATTGCCTTTCTTCTCAACTAGTGGATTACATACTTAACTCTTGTTTTTGTGTAGTGACAGCCTTAGGTATATCAGTTTAACTGTCTGTAACTGAATTTTGTTACAAACGTGCTAAGTAGCTGATCTTTGGGACCTTACATGCGCATCGTAACAGTGCTTCTGATCTAATCTGATTCTTGTGCCTGACTTTAGCTTGACTGTGATATGAAATATGAAGTATTATCAATAACAAACATGTTCGTCTCATGTCATTAATAAAAGTCAAAGAATTTCTTCAGTGACAGCTGTTGTTGGAAGACATTTTTGTATATATTAATCATTCTTACTGTCTGACTGATTCTAAGATACTGTTTGTGTATTTTGAAAGGATGCAGTACAGTAACTTGTATGGTTAAGCACAAAGTAGTAGGATTAATGATTAGTTCTACAAAAAAGAATTAAACATTGCCCTTCAGCTATTGCTAAGTTACTCTCATTTCCCTTTGTAGCTCGGAGTCCAGTGTTCTCCCACTTGTCGTCATCCCTGCAGGGCCTTTGGACTATTCGGGCTTTGAAAGCAGAAGACAGATTTCAAAAATTATTTGATGCACATCAAGACCTCCACTCAGGTTTGTGATAAACTGACATGAAAATTCAAATACTTACTTTGCAGGAGGGAAAAATCTTATGCCTTCAATTACATGTATATAATGTACATTAAAAATCAATAGGAGCTGTGCATTTTGTCTCTTTAGGGTAAAATTTCTCTTTTAGAACAAAAAAAAAGTTATTATCTGTCTAGATTTTGAACATTCACTTTGGTCTGTAATATTATTTGAAATACCCTTGGATATGTTTCAGCAGTGTCTAAGATAAACATTTTAAATTGTGCCTGAAAAGAATGTCTAAAGAATAATTTTTGACATTTTCCTGGATTTCATCTTGAAAAAGACAGGGGGGGAGGGAAACAAGCTATATTATGAAGAATATTAATTTAATATTAAGTAGTGTGCTAGAAGTCAGCAGTGATAATTAATATAAATCACAGTCTTGGAAAACTTTTGTGAATCTCTTTTTTACTTTGAATAACTTTCGGGGCTTAAATATAAAAAAAAATATAATTAACAAGACCAGAGGATACAAAACGTTAGCAAGCAGAATTAATAGGATTTAGGTTTGTGCTACGACTTCTTACCTTCTATCAATTAAATACTCTCTAGTGGAATGTTCTTCAAGATACAGCAGAATGCAAGTTTGCAGTCTGGTATTTGTTAGGTAAGATCTTGAATTTCCCTGTCATAAGATGTGCAAGTATATGGCTTTTTTATATTTATATACAAATTCTATGGCTTTTTTCTCATTTTTTGACTTCTGAAGATTCAGACCACAGCAGAACTTGTGATCATTTCTGACTCTCTGTTTATCACAAGCCATAGAAACTTGCACACTTTGTGTTGAGTGGAGGAATTTGTGATTGAGAAAACATACTTTCCAGGGAGACACCTCTAGATTTGAATTTCCCATTTATTGGTATTTTCAATTTGTTGTGTATAATTTGGCAGTAGTTGATTGTAAGGGAACACAGTTGTTGTATCTTTAGTAGGAGAAACTGCATATACAAGTTAAACTATGCAAAGAGGACTGTGACCTTTAAAATAAATCTTTTATTGTATTTTATGATCAAATCAAAGGAGCATAAACACACTGTTTTTCACTCTTATGCCTCTATGTCTTAAAAAACTATCAAGAACACTTCCATGGGGCAGTTCAGGAGCCTGCTGTAGTGATTAAATTTTAGTGCTTAAAATTGCATTGTTTTATGTACCTACGTGCTTCATTTCCCACTAAAGTATTTAGAGTATGGCAACTTGCTTAGTATATGTATTTTAAGATTCTTGGAGGGAATATTAGCCAACAGTGTGCCTGAGCAGCAAAGAAGGCCAACAGCATCCTGTACTCTGCTAACAGGAGCTCAGACAGAGGAATGAGGAATGTGATATCCCCCTCAGCGCTTGTTAGGCTTTATATGGAGTGGGTTCAGTTGAGGAGTCGCTAAGATGAACAGAGGATTACGAGGAGAAGATGAGAAAACTGAAAGCTTCTAACTTGTGGATGAGAAAGGTTAGAGAGGACCTCGTCAGTGCCAGCATCCAGTGAGAGCAGTACAGAAATGGACAGAATGAAGCTGTTCACAGGAGGATTGTGAAAACAGGAATGATTTGAAATAATTTGACATGAAAGACTTTTTACTGTGAGGACAGTCAGAATAGAGGAGCAGGATGTCCAAAGACTACGCAGGCTCCATCCATTATTGGGATTTTCAAGACCCAGCTGCATTAATTGTGAAACAGTGTGATCTGACTTCAGGACCGGCCCCACTTAGAGCAGTTGGTTGGTACCTCCCAGGGCTGTTTCTACCCTGAATGATTCTTTGATACAGAATGCGTGCAAACCGTTGTTGATGGAAGAGAATAATCTTCTGTGCTAGCTCACAGAGTTGGAGTGTTGAGTTCTTAAGCGCCTCAGAGGGGTTTAAATTCTTTCCTGAACCATACAGTGTTCTTCCAGTCAGCAGTGTTTTTGTTTAGTGCTTTTTGCTGGGGTATGCTCCACTCTATGTAAGGCTGAGCCTAGAAAACAGGATACTGCCTTCAAACCCTGTTTCAGGGATGCCTATGAGTGTGGTTTTAAGTAACCTTTTTTTAAGAAATATCTAAAAGGCTTCTTGAGGTTTGAACTAAGGCTAAGCTTCCTTCCTGTCAGTGCACCATCTCTACAAGAGAGTCTTGAGTCATCAACAGTTACAACATGATGAGTTTTTGTTAGTACCCAGGAATGTCATGTTCCTGTATACACAGGGGCCCCAATTACATGGGGAGATTGCAGAACGATCAGTGTCTCTAGCAGACAGTTTAGTGCACCTCCCTGGACAACAGGAATGGAGCAAAACCTTAGAGTTGAAAATCTCCAACACCTTTGTCACATTTCTCTGTTTTCAGAGATACCCAGCTTCTAGGTATCAGAGAGATACTCGTGCCCTGGGTCATGTCAGGGCAACAAAACTGGTGAGGGGTCTGGAGCAGAAGTTTTACAAAGAATGACTGAGGGAACTGAGATTGTTTAGTCTGGTGGAAAGGAGGCTCAGGGATGACCTTATTGCTCTCTAAAACTACCTGAAGGGAGGTTGTGGTGAGGTGGAGGTTGACTTCTTCTCTTGTGTAACTTGTGATAGGACTAGAGGATCAAGTTGCACCAGGGGAGATTCAGGGTGAATGTTAGGCAAAACAACTTCTCAGAAAGAGTGGTCAGGCAATGGAATGGGCTGCCCAGGGAGGTGGTGGAGTCACCATCCCTGGAGGTGTTCAAGAAACATTGAGATATTGTACTGAGGGACATGGTTTAGTGGGAAGTGGTGGTAGGTGGATGACTGGACTGGATGATCTTGGAGGGCTTTTCCAACCTTGGTGATTCTATGATTCTGAAGTTTCACCATGAATTCTATTTCTCAAATTAGGTTTGTGACTTTATATGATTCCCCTTTCTGCACATGTAATTTCATTGGGCCCAGTACTGAGTGCCTTTTGTTTAATGAAATCATGTATATGCAGTTAGAGCTGATATAATTGGAACTAGGAAATTACCAGGTCTGGCTTTTGCCTGGCTGCCTATCATTGTCATCTTCACTCTTCCTCCCCACCCTCCAGAAGTTAGCATTGGTTAAAGACAAGCAGTGCAAAAAGCATTGGGTTGGCAGTCTTTAATGTGACTTGGTAGCAACTAGAACAATACATTTAACTGTATCCTAAGCAATATATAATGCCATGTTTTGTTATGGGTATTTCACTTCTGATTTTGGCCTTGAATTCAAACACTTTACCTTCTGTATTCAGTGTCTTTTGCTGCTGTCTCCTGTATCTTGTACTGCAGAATATCTATATGGGATGGAAATTAGCACCAAATTGTGAACACTTGCTTACATATGTAAGTGGCCAGTGGAAATGTTCACCCGTAACCTTCTCCAAAAGTAGATGTATGCTTTTGGTCAGTTGAACAGCTCTGTAGCTCCACTCACTTTATTGAGTAGCTCTAATCTGCTTAACCACTTGCAGCTGTCTTCTAGAGGCTTTACTCCGACATTTGTGCTGTGATACTCCATCCAAAAGCCTGTAGAGTCTAGTCCAGTTAAAGCAAATGTAGTTGTACTTCTGCTTTTTGTCTGGAACTCCTGTTCATAGTCCACTAGAATTAAGGAAAGGCTTCTATTTTAAATAAATGTGCTGTGCTTCAGGCCTTTTTCTTCCTATTACTGAGTGTTACGCTAGCTTTGGCTGCTGTTAATGTGATTACTAGGTCAGACCACTCCAGGAAAACTGGACAGTATTCTGATGATCATCTCATAGAGATGTGCACTTGAAGATGACAACTGTAATTGATAAAAAAGGAATAACAGGAAAAAAAAAAATGTAAAAAGGCTTTCTAATATAAATGTAAACTGATTTAATAGTAATTATACAGCTCGGTTTTCTAATAATCCACTGTTCTAATGTCTTTCTAAAATACCATTTAGAGGCCTGGTTTCTATTTTTGACGACCTCGAGGTGGTTTGCTGTGCGTCTGGATGCCATCTGTGCCATTTTTGTTATAGTGGTTGCTTTTGGTTCCCTGCTTCTTGCCAAGAGTAAGTACAGACGTTAGAAAAAGTTCACCCAGTAATTACCATGTATAGTAATGCCTAATTCTTTTTCATAGTTTACTGTTTCTAATTGTTTAAGGACCATAATTAAGTTAAATGTTTCTTTCTAGATCATGATCTCTTCCTCAATCTAGAGCATTGGGTCTCTATCTCCTTTTCTGCAAATATTGGAAGCAGTTCAGACATCTTCTGGGCATGCATTTACCATCGTCCTCAAATGTGCAAACAAACTTGCAGATCTGCACTTCACTTGGGCGATTCTGGCTTTCAGAGCAATAACAACAAATAAATCTTTTTTTGCCACCTTTGCCTTTCTTTTTAAGCCCTACAGGGCTTTGCTTTTCATATTGAAACACCCACAGAGCTGCTTCTTAACAGCTCTTTTCCTTTTTGCACATGGCACAGTAGGCAAAAAGGCAGACTAAAATTCCTAGGGATACTTTTCTAATGTCTTGGATCAGCAGGATAAGCAAGTTGGAGAGAGAAAATCACCTTGTAATGATGCATTTTATATTCACTGTCACTCACGAACTGTCATTAGTGTATGCATCATCCAGGATGTAATTGGGTAGATGTACTAGAACGAGATAGTCATCTAAAGTATGAGGGAAGAAGTAATTATCTTGGACGTGAAAATTAGTGCTAATTTGCTGTTTTTGTTTCTTTTCTTTTTCCTTTGGACAAGTTATGTGTATGCATGTGCATTTCAAAATTTGAACACTCTACACTTCTTGATACTGAAAATGTTGAGCCAGATTTGAAGTTAATAGAATGCAAACAGACAAGTCAAAACAATGGTCCTGAATCTTTCCTTGCCTCTGGATAAGGAGTAGCTCTCTTGAAGTCAATAGAGCTGTGCTAGGATAAAGTTCAAGTAAGTTAGAAAACAATCATGCTTAATATTGGGGCAGACATAATTATTTTATTTTATGAGAGTAGGCCCACTGAACCCAACAAATCTTTATGTAAATAGGGGGAAAATATTCTGTACAGTTATTTTATCTGATCACTTAAAACTGTACAGAGTTTATGTAAATGTTCTTAAGTTGAAATCATTTTGCGATTATTTTTTGTTCAGATTTAGAGGTTGATATAATTCCTTCATAAAAGACTGGAAACTTACCAATGCTTAGCTGGGTAGGAATGACCTAATGAGATATGTAAGTATGGTCTTGAGACCGAGTCTCAGTTTTAAGATAAAATACCTGGCCAAGTATCAAGATTCATTTCAAAAACACAAATAATATCCAAAACATACCCCCAGAAAGTGCTGCAAGAAACTGTTCTGCCTGGAGCTACTCATTGCACACACAGATGGTAAGTATGGTGTAACCAAACAAAATTCTGGCTGTGATAATTCCATCATGTAAGAAACCTCATGAAAGTGAAGTTAACTAGAATTGTGTAATTAGTAGTGTACCTATTTGATTCTCTCTTTTCTTTGTTCTGCAGCTTTGAATGCGGGGCAAGTTGGTTTGGCACTGTCCTATGCAATCACTCTCATGGGAACATTCCAGTGGGGTGTGAGACAAAGTGCTGAAGTTGAAAACCTGGTAACGTTTATTTCTTCCTTTTCACTTCTTGGTTCCTTTGGGTAGTTGTGAAACATGATGCTTTAAGGACGGCAGTCTTCTTAGTTAACTTAGGATGTTAATTACCTTCTTGGGCAACCGAAACACTGTTTAAAGACAGTAGAGAAAAACAGCTTCTCCTAGAGTACAGTTTGTCTCACTGATTTTTGAATGTCTATTCAGATGAATTGTCCATCTCTGTTGATAGTATGGGAACCTTTATAATCTTCCTTCTTTGGTAGAAAGAAGACTGTCTGGTTTTGATGTAGAATCTGCATTCGAAGTCACTAAATTACATAAAATGAATCCCTCAATAAGTAAGATTTTTTTCTTAAAGACTTTTTTAGATTGGATATTTAATTATTTTTTTTTTGCACACATTGCTGCATGTTTTATTTTTGTTTATATCCATCATTAGGTTTTTTGTGATCCTGATAATTCACTGTAAAGGCTTACACTTTCTTAACTTGTTATAAGTTAACAAGTATTTGAAAATATTTAAGTTTATATTCACCTGAGAAGGTAGTGTGGTTTTGAATATATGTAAAACAATATACTTTTCACCAATTTACAACATTTACTAGCATGCTCTATTTTGTCCATTTTCTTTTTAAGCTAATGTGTAAGAAAAAAGGGTTATAAAAGGAACATACTACATCTTAAATCTGTTTGGGTTGAAAGGTGAAGGTTGCTTGTAAATATGGCCGTACTCTAGGAGACATATATATTCTTTTAATAAAAGGAACAAAACTATGTTTAATAGCAGATTAAATAAATAACAATATTAGGTGTGTTATTGGTGGTGGTGATGGGTGTTTTTTTGGCTAGCACTTTGCTTCTCCGTAGCGTTTTTCAGACGTGAATAAGCTAATGGTCACCACACTTTGGGGAAATTCAGAGAAGTTCTTGGGATTTCTTTTTGTACCAGTTAGGAAGATTTGGAAGGATAAATCTATTGCATTCTTGTGTAGTGAATTACTCTGTGAGAGGCTGTGATTCAAAAATACCTTGGAGGAAAAAGACTCACCATTCACCAGCTGGCTTTCTAGTGGAGTATTGATCATTTCATGGGGCTGTGACAGGTGGGCATCCAGCAAGAATCTTGTGTTATTAAAGGCTGACTTTTTTGGGGGGAGGCAAGAACAGTTCCCTTTCTATAGTTCTTTCTTTACACATTTTTCGTGTGAGCCTGTTTTGTAATGTGGAACGGGTAGGTAGCAGTGAGGTCAGAGAACGCGTTGCCTGATGACTGCTGTTCTTTAAAGCCACTTCAGGGAGGGTAAGCTTGCTGGATATCTTCATGATGGCTTTTTTAAAATCCATCTATGCACAGATACAGTTAAGTAAAATAAGCTGTACAGATAGTTGTTTGGGTGAGAATGTTTGCCAAAGCCTAAATATGGCTTTTATCATTTACCTGCCTAGATAGGTCGACTTCTATTTTTCTTCCCTTTCTAAGACTAAAGACTGCATCAAATACTGCCATTCACTTAATATTTGACATAAAATATACAGGGAAACAAGTTTTACTGAATATTAAGGCAATAATATGGTGTAACAGTTATCTTAGATTTTGGAGTTGCTTGTGATGAATATATTAAAAAGCACTAGTGCAGTGGTAATGAGGAGGACAAAAAAGGGAAGGTGAAGGTGGTAACTTCTAGTATGTTGTGACAATGCTAGTAGCTATCATTGGTATGCTTGTAGCTTATGTGGCCGTTTCATTTCTATCTCTTTTCTTAATACACGGTGAAATGGTGTCAAAGCAGCCGAGACAACAATCTTAGCTTAAGTTTCTTAAAACTTATGCACGTGCTCCCAAGTTGTAGTTAATCTCACTGATTCAGCTGTATAAAGTAAGTATGGGATGGTACCAAGCACTCCTATCTGTGCCTGAAGGAAAAGCTCTGGAATAATTTCCATTGAATCTTCACAGTAAAAATCCATGGGTGTGGGTGTGGGTGTGTGCACTGAAAAAACAGAGTAAACTGAAATGTATGGAGATATGTCTTCTTTCCTCCCCTTAGATGATATCAGTAGAAAGAGTAATGGAATACACGGATCTTGAAAAAGAAGCCCCTTGGGAAACCAACAAGCATCCACCACCTGAATGGCCAAGCCATGGAATGATAGCATTTGAAAATGTTAACTTCACTTACAGTCTAGATGGCCCTTTGGTGTTAAGACATTTGTCTGTTGTTATTAAACCAGAAGAAAAGGTATGTATATTGCTGGTTTTGGTCATTTATGGCAATTAAGCAAGGAGGATAAGTTGAAAAGAAGCTGTGTTACAAAAAGACGCTGTAAAATACATGAATGTTAGGAAATCAGATAACTGTAGTTTTAAAAAATAAGGTGATCATACTTAATAACATTAGTTGGAGCCTCTTTATTTCCTGTAAATATAGCATCAATGAATCCAGGAATGTTGCATTTCTGTATATCAAAACAAAAGGTTAACTGATAAAGTGTAGATTTCATCAGAAAGTGGCTGACATTCAGAATATAAACAAAACCCAAAACATTTGTTAAAATCTAAAGCAAATGGAGCTGCATTAGGGAATTGGGAATTCAGTAAAGGGAACAGAAATGGAATGATGGGTATCAACACAGAAGGTGAGCACAGACTACTGTATATAAGGAATGTACATGTTCTTGCACAGAGCCCAGAATAGGAAAGAAAGAAATACAAATCCATTGCACAACTTTAGAGTTGGGGATTTTATTTCAGTTCCTTTTGGCTACCAATCCAATTAACTGTTGCTGTTAATTAGATTGGTAGCCAAAAGAAACATGGAAATAAAACTCTTCCTCCTCTGCAGATTTGACTCTTCCTCCCCAATTTTGACACTATCCCAATTGAAGGAGTGCTGCAAGGAAGGTCTCTCCCACAGACAAAATTAAATTAGAGCCCTACAGTGTTAATTCACACTTTGCTACATTTCAGATACACACGAACTTTTTTGATTAGGATATCTTCCCTAGGAGGCTGGTTTGACTCTCTGCAATCATTACCTTTGACTCATTTGTAACATGCTTTTCCATTCAGTCCCAAACCTGTTTTGTTCCTCAAGTGGACCCTTTTAATAACGTGCGTGTTACAAGAATTCAACACAACTTCACTGCATGGAATTAAGTATGGATGAGTTAAAAAAATGTGTTTAAGAACTTTTCTTGCCTATGGGCCATTTCTTCAGCTGTAATATATCACCCCAGTGTAATAGCAGACAAGGCAGTTTACTTTTCTAAGGGAGAGAAATAAAGTAGTAATAATAATAATAAAAAGGAAGCAAGAGATAATAACGTTGATTACTTCTTGGTAGGGGCAGTAGGAGGAGGGATGAGTGGGTATATTTATTTTTGCTCTGGTTCTGCAGTGGTTTTGTCATCCTGAAGTGAATTTGTTCAGCTTGAAACCATTGCCAAGAATTTCATGTTTGTTTTCTATGGTGCTTTGCACAATACTGCAGTAGACTGCCACTGTGTAAAATAAATCTTTCAAGCATCTGTGTGCCCCTTATACTGTTTTTAATTATGGAGAAGTGTCTCTTCAGAACCAGGTTTCTGATGCACTGGGGGGTTCCACCCATGGAGCTGGCATTGAGAGCTTCTGTGCTTGCTCATACTCCTGACTACTTCAGACTTCTGGTGACTGCAGTGCTTCTCATGGAGCTAATGAATTTAAACTTCTGCCATGTGCTTAGATTTTCTTATAACTGACCATGCACCCAGTCTGCCAGGCTCTAGGTGCAGGAATAGATGAGGCAACTTCTAAGAGATCACTTATGGGATGTGGTGTCTTTACACCTGCCACCTAGCCTCATCTTTCTGTGTTTGGTATCTCCCTATAGTCAAAGTAGGTGAGGAGGGTCCTTCTCATTTAACTGTCTTTGCTAACCCAGTGCAATCTGCCTGAAACAGACCAGAGGATGCTCGCACAAGGAGTTGTGCCAGCAGCCAGCTGTGCTCTGGTAGTATAGGTGAATCATAGAATCATAGAGTTAATTGGGTTGGAAGGGACTTTAAAGTTCACCTAGTCCCAGCCCCCCTGCCATGGGTAAGGCTGCTAACCCACCAGCTCAGGCTGCCCAGGGCCTCGTCCAATCTGGCCTTGACCACGTTCAGGGAATGGGGCACCCACAGATTCTCCAGGCAGCGTATGCCAGTGCCTCACAACCTCACAGTGAAAAATTTCCCCCTAATATCTTATCTAAATCTTCCGTTTTTCAGTTGCAAACCGTTCCCCCTTTTCCCGTTGCTATCTGCCTATGTAAAAAGTCGTGTCTCTGAAGCAGATGACCATGTACAACCCTAATTTGTAAACACCACTATCTTTGTCTTAGGAAGGTTAGTTGAATTCAACAACTTACGAATGATTATTGACTATGAATCGTTAAGAGTACATTGCCTCAACAGATCCTGAATCTGAGGGTATGGCTACATGAAGAAGTTAGAAGGGTAAGGATCTAGATTTATGGCACGGATGCTGTTCACGCAAATACCCTTACAGTGTAGCATGAAAGGGAGGTTGCCTGAGGGGCAGCAAGAGCAGTTTGAGATCAATAGCTGACGTGCTCATTTTTTGTGCAGCTCTGCTTTGAAGTACAAGTGATTTTTGAGTAATGATGAGTCCAGTGTAGCAGGTGTACTCTTGGGTATGCACATGGCTTACATCAAGGCTACAAAATCCTGGTTAGGTGATTCCTATTGGGTGGCCAGGACCTCCATTTGCAGACCATCTTTGTGTTTGCACTAGTTATAGATGTGGATTTCAAACACAATGTTTTTTAAAAAATGTCTATAGGGAGAACTGTTTCAAATTCATCTTAATTTTCAGCAGCCTGTAGTCAATTGGACCAAAAATACAAATAGATTCTTCTAAATACTGAGCAGCATAGTCCTTTCATTTGTTGCCAAACTGAAAGTGGGATTTTGACAACATGCAGAGCAGCTGCATTTTTATTTTAAGTATCGATGTTTTTTTTTGTTGTTGTTTTTCTGTTGTTCTTAGTGCAATACTTTGTATCACTGATGCTTACAGGGAAACAGTTGAACTTTTGTTTTCATAACTGTATTCTCCATTCAGTATTTTCAGTAATGTAACTGTTCAGAACTGTTTTTTCCTTTGTTTCATGTTGTTTTGTTTAATATAATATGAATACTGGATATCTTATTATTTAATGTAGTATATTTGGTTAGATTATGCAGTAGCTTTACTAGTAAGTACCACAGTTTATGTATAGTTGCACAGTAATGAATTGTTAGATTAATTTTTCAATCAGAAAATGGGAGTAGGAAATACTGCTTAGATTATGCAGTGTAAGTTGCTCCTCTTGTGTATTTATGCTCAGATGTGGGCACTGTTGCTTTATCTGAGCTGAAGGTCTCTGACTACTAGAAAGTTTTTCCTTGCTTTTCAGTGTAATGTTTCCTGTGCTTAATTTCATTCCAGCAGTCATTACTGCATACATCTGAGTCTCAGGCAGTGGGTAATTGCCCTCTGGTGTCTGTACGTATACTCGTGAAGGTTTTCATGTTTTTTCTTCCTTTCTGCACCTGAATCACTTTGCCAGGCTATATTGTACATGTTTAATCCTCATAAATCCTTCCTCACAAAATCAGTATCTCCAATTTCTTCATATTAATTTTATGTTGCACTTCTCTGAACTCTTTCCAGTATGTTGATTTCTTTCTGGAAATGTAGCGATTAAAACTGAGTGCAGGAAATAACAAATCCTGCCAGATCAGATCTGCATAGTGAGTTACACCCGTCACCTTCTATGATACAATTGATTACTGTACATTGTTTTCTTTAAGTATTGTTCACCTGCAGACAACATATTTTTAAGGTTTGCTGTTCAAGTAGTATTTATTTAACCATCACAAATTTTGTTTCTTCTTAATTATTAATGACCTTACTTTTTCCCAAGACTCATTTTTATACGGTATTTGTAACCTATCATAAAAGTTAGCAATCTCATATTTTGCTTCGTCTCTACCTCTTTTTTTTTCTGAAAGCATTGTTTTTTCACATTGCAGTTTCCGATTTCCTTGGGGAACCCAATGAAGCCTGAATCATTATGATTTTATTATTCACTGTTTATCCTGTTTAGATGGGAATTTGTGCTTGCTCATGTTTTCCTGTCGTTTCAATACTGGTATCACAGAATCACAGAATGGCCAGGGTTGGAAGCAAACATGCTTCAAGCATGATCCTTGGACCTCAAGGATCATGAATCTCCAACGCCCTGCCACATGCAGGGCCACCAACCTCCCCATTTAATACTAGACCAGGCTGCCCAGGGCCCCATCCAATCTGGCCTTGAACACCTCCAGGGACGGGGCATCCACAACCTCTCTGGCAGCCTGTTCCAGCACCTCACCACTCTCTCTGTAAAGAACTTCCCCCTGACATCTAACCTAAATCTTCCCTCCCTCAACTTAAAACCATTTCCCCTTGTCCTTCAGTTATCTACCCTTTCAAAGAGTTGATTCCCCTCCTGTTTGTAGGCTCCCTTTATGTACTGAAAGGCTGCAATGAGGTCACCCTGCAGCCTTCTTTTCTCCAGGCTGAACAAGCCCAGCTCCTTCAGCCTGTCCTCACAGGGGAGGTGCTCCAGCCCCCTGATCATCTTTGTGGCTCTCCTCTGGACCCTCTCCAACAGCTCCCTGTATTTCTTGTACTGGGGGCTCCAGGCCTGGACACAGTACTCCAGATGGGGCCTCACAACAGCAGAGTAGAGGGGGGCAATCACCTCCCTGTCCCTCCTGGCCATTCCTCTTCTGATGGAGCCCAGGATACCATTTGCCTTCCGAGCCGCAAGGGCACACTGCTGGCTCACATTAAGTTTTTCATCTTTCAAGACCCCCAGGTCCTTCTCTGCAGGGCTGCTCTCAAGGACCTCTCCTTCCAGTCTGTATGGAGGCCTGGGATTCCTCCGGCCCAAGTGCAAAACTCTGCACTTTGCCATGTTGAACCTCCTTCTACCGTGTCAACCGCAACACTCAGCTTGGTGTCGTCAGCAAACTTGCTGAGGGTGCACTTGGTATCCTCTCTGCTGAAGCTGTCTGAATACTGTTTATAATCCTACTGATAGTTTTAACTTTACTTTGGCTCTAGAATCTAAATACTTTACAGTACTTCACCTTAACCATACTAACCGGCCTTGGTTTCTAAACTGGGAGTAATAAATTGTTCCTGAAGTGCTCATAAGAGTCCTTTTCTGGATTGAGAAGTAGGTGCATGCCTGAAGTGATTTACTTAATGTCAAGCAGCAAATCAGATTTTGTGTAAAATTGGTTGCCTTGAATCACATTACGCATCAGACTGTTTCATCTCACATACACAATAAAACACAATGCATTGAGGGAAAAAACTTTGTTAGGAAAATATTTCTTTCACCTTTGAATGATATGATCATTAAAAATCACTTTGGATCCAATTGTCACCTGAATCCCAACTGATCTAGCAGGAAGGTTTCTTCCTCTTGAAAAAGTGTTAATTACAAAGTAGTTTTATTTGATGTTTATTCTATTACAAATCCTGTGATATTGTAAAACTGTTCCTTATCCTTCAAGGCTCCTGGTCTAATTGTACAAGCTCTGTTTGGTCTACAGGTTGGAATTGTGGGAAGAACAGGAGCAGGGAAGAGCTCTTTGATAGCAGCCCTTTTTCGGTTGGCTGAACCTGAAGGAAGGATCTGGATTGATAAGTACTTGACATCAGAGCTAGGCCTCCATGACTTAAGGAAGAAAATTTCAATTATACCTCAGGTAAGAGACTGACTTTGCTATAAACATTTTTCCTGTAATACTTAAATGCTTTGCCAGGATATGTATACAGAATATATAGAATGGAATCAGCTTTGGGAACTGGAGAGTTTTCTTCCTAGTTCTATTCTCAGCCCATTCCTCCAGAATAAGTACAAGTAGATGTTAGCAATACGCTGCCCTCCATGGCTGGAAATCAGCAAAGAAAACTGGGTGGGAATACTCAAAGCTTCAGTAGTTCTCTGATGTCAGTTCCACCTTCAGCAGAAATTCTCACCTGATGCATTGCCTGAAGCTTTCTTAGTAAGGGACTTTGAGGAGCTACATTCAACTCTGTAGACACCCCTGTAGGCTGAGGCTAGGTCTTGAAAGAGCACATATACCAACTGTAAGTGAGCTACCAGACTTTCCATTATGGAGAGAGGGCTGGAGAGGAGAACATGGAGAGAAGAAAGAGTGGATCATTATGACCCATAAATAAGAACTAGTGATCTTCGAATGCTGAATATAGGAAAGGCTGCCATGGAAGGGGGAGGGAGGGGGGAAAAAAAACATTGTTGGGAATAGATTCGTCTCTGATGTTGGAACAGAGGAAAGGATGTTCTAAGAAATCCAGTAGGCCAGAAGTGTTGTGTTCTATTGTCTGCCTTTTGAATGAAGCAATGGAGAAGAGAAGGTTTATGTGTAACCTCAGAACTTCCTGAAGGCAGTGTCTGTGCAGATTACTCCATTTCATAAGAGGGCTAATTCCTCTCCAGTAGAGAACAAAAGAAGAGGGAAAAGTTCATACATTACACATGCAAAGTCCATCTCTGTGGCAAATAAATATCTTGTGTTTGTTTTTTTTTTTTTTTTTATAGCAGGTTGATAGAACAGTAGACTGGAAGCCAGAGGAATTCATTTACTGTGTTTAACACTGATTCTGAAATCTTTGTATTTTGTTATGGAAGTTGTATTTAGAGTTCTTTGGCCATATTTTTATCTGAATCTTTGCTAGTCAGCCATTGCGATGGCATTAAAAGTGTTTATATTACTTTCTTTGAATTGAGAATCTAATAAAAATGGCAGTGAACAGTGGTTCCAGCCTCATTGGAGGACATGCCTTTTTTGGTTTTTTTTTTTGTTTGTTTTTATTTTCCCAAGAATACAAGTCAGAGAAAGAAAGTATATATCTTAATAAAAGTAAATACTCCCCCAACAATTGGATTGTTGCCTAATGCAGGCTGCTTTTTTCCTTCTGTATGCTGAAATCTTTCTTTGTGCACAGCAGAGGTAGTTGGTGTAACTATGGAAATAGTCGACTTATGGGATCTAAAGAGAACTTCATGTGGACTTATTTCCTTTCCCTGAAAATATGTAGTCATCAGTTTTTTTAAGGTGCTCTGCAGCTTTCCCGAAGCCCTGCCCTTTTGAAGGTGATTTCCACATTGGGAAGCATTCAATCCCATTGGTTAAAATTCAGTGTTGGGGCAAGAAAGCTGTTGGTCAGGTATGGTTTCTACACACTGAGTTATGTAGATGCTTGAAGTTCCTTGTATTTAGTTACACATTATTTCCATTATTTATTTTTTGTATACAACGTCTTAGTGACGCTGGCTTATGGCCATAAACGATGTTGATCCAGTAGAATATTGTGATAGGGTTTTCACTGTGGGCTCAAGGGGCTTTAAGTGTCTGAAGGGTAGCAAGTGACATCTGTCTTCCACATAAGGGAAGGCTTCTTTTCACTGAAAACATGTAGAATGTTGAAATGGTGGTAGTAAGAGGAGGAGGGTTTGGAATAAGATTCGTGCTGTAGTAAACTGAATGACAAACACTGTCTTTGTAGTACATAAATAACACTAGTGTCAGTAATAGAAATAGTCACGGAACAGGCAGTTATTTTGCAGCAAGTATCTTCATAATTACGTGGGAAGCTTTAAAAGAAAAAGAAAAAAACCCAAAACACCAGGGAGGGAGATGTTCATTTAAATTATAAGGCATGCTAAAGTAAACCGTTCCTAGAGAGTAATGAGGTAAGACTGAAGTTTTCTTATATGTAAGCTTAAATACCTACCTGGAGAAATAAAAATGTGCTTAGGCTTCTAATTGCTTGTTTGGATAGAGCTGTGTGAAGGTTGTGTTTGTAAATCTTTCCTATGCAAATATTGTCTGCCTCCCTGACTGCAAGCATTTTTACAACAATTATTTACAGGTTTGTCTTATTACTTTCCTCTCATAAACCAGACTATTTTGAATAATAATCTGTGTCAGAAATGGTAATTAAAAATATATCCTTATCTACTGTTGCAGTGCATGTCTGTTGTTAAGACTTTTATAGCAGTTAAGAACACTTTTTAAATTCAGTCCCTTATTCACTAACCTATAAAAATAGAGTGAAAAGAAAAACAAACGTAACAAGACCTTCGAAATGCACCAAATAGCATGTACTGTCAATGCAAAATTTCATATAATTGGCACGCTGCGTCAAGAAATGCATGTGTTTTTTTACACTGTTTGCAGCGTGTTCTGTCTTTGTTACTCCTTTGATGCCACTCAGAATGGTTTAGATGTCAAGATAATAAAAGAGTTAACGTTGAAATTCTGGTCTGATTTGCTGCTGCCATTTGGGACTGGCCATCAGTAGAGTTAGGTGGGGCGTCAGTCAAGAGAGAGTAATCTTGGCATAAGCTGAAGTAATGAAATACAAGTTTAGGCATCCTTTTATAGAGCAAAAAAAGAAAACATTTGAAATAAGATTTGTCCAAATTAAACAAAACTCTGATTATTTGATGACCAGTCTGCTTTTATGATTAGCACTATTAAAGCTTTTGAGTTGTATTCTTGATATAGTATCAAGAGAAATCTAGTTGTATCAGTGCATGATTCTCGGGTCTGGCAAATCACCTTAGTTAGTACTTGCTGCTCAGGGAACACTGGACCAAAAACCATTTTCCACCTTCTCAAACACCATTTTTTTTTTTCAACGTGCATTGATTTGTGTCCATGTAATTAATGATCTGTTACTTATTTGAATGGGAACTGAAGTAGAACAATGGCTGCTTTGACCACTGGTAAACCCACACTGGTGCCTTAATGGGAGACTGTACTGGTTTGACTCAGTGGTTTATTTTGAGTTAGATCTTTGACCAGCTATAAGTAACCTGAGTAACCTTGGTATGATGCTGTAGGCATGTAGATTAACTTCTTAGTTAACCTATAGTGACTATATGTTACATATATGGGCAGGAAGAATTAAGCATTGCTCTGAAATGGTGGAATTTGTTTCTTCTAGGATCTTCTGTAAAACTGAAAGGCTTTTGTATTATGAAATGCAGAGAGGGGGAACGGAAAAGAACAAAAATGGCATTGGGAGCTCTTTAATTCATCTTTCTTTTATTTAGTGTAAATACGAATTTTAGAAACTACCCAAACATAATTTAGGAGTCTGAGCCCATTGACAACAGCAGTTTTTGGTTTTCACTAAGAATAGCAGGGTAGCAGTGATTGCATGTGAGTATATGTATATATATAGCTTGTGGCATCTAAACAGTGTCATGTAAATGCCCATTTGAGGACCCACATAACTGTGTACAGCAATTTACAAAGAAGACCTACTCTGGTAAATGATCTCCACACAGAATGTCTGAATATTTCATTTCTTTCTTCCCTCCTTTTCGTGTGCTACGTACTCTTCCGTGTTTCATAAAAGATAGCTTGTTGTAGGATATTTCTGTGTTGTGGGTTAATTCTGACTGTTATTAGCTTACTTATTGTGATGATAAAACCTGTGTTTATAATAGAATGCTAATTTTACTCGGTTTTAGGAGCCCGTATTGTTCACTGGGACAATGAGGAAGAACTTAGATCCTTTCAATGAATACACTGACGAAGAACTGTGGAATGCCTTGGAAGAGGTGATTTACTAAATCTAATAATGTACATCTGATGTCTAGAAGCCAAATTACACTATTGTGCTTGTGTGCATTAGGTTTTAGATGTTTTCCCAAGGTTTGATAAGGGCAAACTGTTGATGGAAAAAGGTAGACCGTTGTGTCTGTGTTTGTCAGTGTGTTGTTTGTGCATGTGTGTAGACATGAATATTGTTACATAAGTCTTTTATGAAGAAATTATCCCTTGGGATGATGTTTTGGTTACATTTTGATTCATATCTTAGTTTTAATGAACATTAATAGATTCTTAACAATATGCTTTAATGTTTTTAGAATTCTAATAACTGACACTGTGTAATCCAACTTGGCACTTAGTCATTTTGTGCCAGAATATAAAAGGTAAATCTTGCATACTTATTACTGTGTCATCAGACATACAATAGCTGATTTGAAAGGGAGTTACTCATCCTACAATATGTTGACATGTCAACAGGTGCAACTGAAAGAGGTTGTGGAAGATCTACCTAATAAAATGGAGACACAGCTGGCAGAATCTGGGTCTAATTTTAGTGTTGGTCAGAGGCAGCTGGTGTGTCTTGCCAGAGCAGTTCTAAAAAAAAATCGGATCCTTATCATTGATGAAGCAACAGCAAATGTGGACCCAAGGTAAAAACCAAAATGCTGTGTTAAGATGAACTGTTTCTTCTTTTAGCTTGATCACCTGTGCTGTAGAAATGAAATTAAATGCTTTCTATTTCCTGTCGTTTGTATTGCTGTTTTATGTTTTCCACAGTACTATCATAACTATCTATTTGTAATGGGGCGACTGAGCTTTAGATCCAGAGCAGATGATGTACACTGGATGTGTGCCCAAAATATCCCTAATTTCAGTGCGTTATGTAGAGTAGGAAGATTAACACTGAAAGTTAATCAAAGTATTTCTCCCGCAGCCATAGACAAGAACTTACCTGGAAATGCAGATCAGTGGTGTTAGAATAGCCATGAAACTAAGCTGAGTTCTGTTGATTCTAGGAAGAAATATCTGCTGGAAAAATAATAAATTAATAAATTAGCTCCCCCCCTTCCCCTTCAACCTTCCCCAAAAAAGATAAAAAGCATGTCTTGTATAACTCAGGCCAGCAGAACTTTCCTGAATTCATTCCTATTTTAACTACATCGTACTGCTAGAAGGACATCTACCCTCAATAGAAAGAAACTTTCAGTGACAACCCTTGTTAAATTGTTCCAATAGCTAAGTACCCCCACTGTTAATTTTTAAACGTTTGAAACACTGATGGAAATATTTTGGAAACAATACTGCAAATGTACTGCATCAATTAGTCTGAACTGAATATATAGTTCCAACAAACTATGGCTTGAGGGGGAACTCAAAGTCCAAAGAGGACAATAACACAGCAAGTCCCTCAAACAGATGCATTAAGGATTTTGTATGTCATCTGGGTGTGACTCATTTTTATAACATCTTCTTGGGGGAGAAGTGGTGCCACTAGGACAGCTTTGCAGTTCAGCTGACAGTGTATTTCTAAAACCTTTAGAGGAGTGCATTCCCTTTCCAGAGGTTCTTTATTTTATTTTGTTTTATTTTACTTTGACATTTGTTTTCTTTTTTGACTATTAGTTTATTTTTGGCTGAGCACTGATAGATTAACTATGATTAATCATAGCTGTGGAAATTTAATACCATCTTACTCATCCTCCCAATTTTGGCATCTAACGTATGTGTTCTCAACTTGCACTATCCATTTAATTAATCTTGATTAATGTGTGCTGCAATATATATTATAATAAGGTAAATGTTTGTTTGTATCAACTCTACACATAACAATACAAATAATAACTTGGAACTTCTACTTTGAATTCATTTTGCATTACAGTCATTATTACCTTTTTCTTAATGCGTTGCTAAAACTAGAGCAAAGTATTTTTCAGCTGTGCAGTCTGATAGGATGCTCATCAGGAAATGCTGATGTGTGTTGCTTAACTGAGCAGTTAGGGAGGCAATTTTGGAATGTAAAGAAAACCTCCTTCTCTTGTGATGCACAGCCCCCATGCCTGGCATGGTAAGCACACGTTGTATCAAGCACCTGGAATAGGAAACTGTGGGGAGCTGCTGCTGGCTGTAGAGATTATACTTCATTTTTTATTTTTCTGGCTCATCATCTTTTTGCCTGGACCACTGCTGCAACTGCACTTCCCTCCAATTCAACCTGAAAGCAAATGTGAGAAGACAGGACTTGAGGGTGGGAGAAGGAAAGGAGTGGGTGAGATGGCATGAAGTAGTGGAACATGACATTCCTTGGGGCTGAGGAACTTTTCCCCATGGTTCTTCAGCCTGGCTAAGCCATTCATCCTTGCTGGCCAGTGAGGCTGAGCAAAAGAATAAAGGGAAGGAATTTGGAGTTCATCTTTCTTCTTTCTACATCTTAGAGCTCCCATAAGTACCCTGCATCTCACAGATAACTGGGTGTTCTGCATACTGCAGGGGTGGCAGTGCTGTTGTAAGAGAGGGGAGGAGTTTGCTATAAAGAAGGTTCCTCTAAGTCAGACTGCTTGCATGTTGTATGTAATGAATGACAAGCGTTGATTTGATTTTATCTTTTTGGTCCTGAAGCCAGAATTCTTATCCTTAAGAATGGAATAGTTTTATAGCAATTAAGTGATTTGGAATGGTGATTTGAAATCTGGAGCAGAAGAGCTGAAAAATCTTTCTGCTGTCACTTTGGTGGTATATTGAAACAAAATTTGTAGTCTTTGAGACTTGATTTATTTTTAACACCAAGTTCAGTGTACTGAGCTTTCTGTGTACTGAATGTACACAGTATATGTGTTAACCTGTGTTTTTACTACTTGTAAATGCAGTCCACTGCCCCATTTCCACATCAGTGATTCATTGAGTCTGCTTAAAAACGGTCATTGCACACAGTTCAGTTTGTTAGTCAGCTTAACCTTGTAAAATTTAACTTTTTATTACATCTTATTGCTATCTGTACTTGTTTCCCTTTTGGAGAAATTATCAGCATGTGTGGCCTTCTTCAGGGCCGCTCAGGAATTGTTTAATGTGAGATATGCTTCCAGGACAATCCCAGGATGACATTAGACTGAAGATAATGACTTACCCAGCATTTCTTTCACCAGCTTGATCGCTTCTCACTCACGTTGCATTTATATTTGCTCTTTAGATGTCTTCCTTTTTACCCAGTCAGCTAATTTTGGATATACCAGGTCTTGAGTTGCAATGAAACTTGCTGTTAGACCTTCAACCCACAGTGCCAGTGGGACAATTATAGCACTCTTTTTTCATAGAATTGTAGAATGGTTTGGGTTGAAAGAGACCTTTATGATCATTTAGTTCCAACCTCCCTGCCTATAGCAGGGGCACCTTCCTCTAGACCCGGTTGCTCAAAGTAACGTCTAGCCTGGCCTTGAATGCTTCTCAGAGAAGGGGCATTCACGACCTGGCATTCACTGGACAACCTGTTCCAGTGTCCCAGTGTCTCACCACCCTCACAGTAAAGAATTTTTTCCTAATATTTAGTGAAGAGCCCCAGCTCTCTCAGCGTTTCCTCACAGGGGAGGTGCTCCAGTCCTCTAGTCATCTTCGTGGCCCTTCTCTGGACCCTCTCCAACAGCTCTGTGGCATTCTTGAGTTGTGCTCACTTCAGCCAAATCTGCTCTTGAGCTTCACATTACTCACCTCCTCACTGGTGAAGACAAAGTCCAGCATAGCACCTTTTCTCATGAATTCCTGTAACACTTGGAATAGGAAGTTATCATCAACGCATTTCAGGAACCTCTCTGATTTCTGGTGCCCTGTTGTGTTGACCCTCTAAGAGATATTGGGATGGTTGAAGTCTCCCATTAGGACCATCTTTGGTGAATGTGAAGCTGCTCCTATCTGTTTACGGAGGGCCTCATCCACTCGGTTTTCCTCATTGGGTGGCCTGTAGCAGACTCCCACTGTGATGTTTCCTTCCCCCGCCTTCCCTTTAACCCTAACCCATAAGCTCTCTGTCCTCATCTATCTCCAGGTGGAGCTCCATGGACTTCAGCTGGTCTTTGATGTAGAGGGCAGCACCCTCTCCCCTTCTCCTCTGCCTGTCCTTCCTAAATAGATTATACCCCTCTGTTCCTACATTCCAGTCATAAGAGTCATCCCACTATGTCTCAGTGATGCCAGTGATGTCAAAGCCCTGTAGGCACACACATACCTGCAACTCTTCTTGCTTGTTCCCTGTGCTCCATGCATTAGTGTACAGGCATTTGAGTTGGGCTCCCATCGAGGCTGATTTAACAATTGGAGTTTCCTTATCCTGCATCTTAGGTGCTGTCTTACTGGCTTCTGATCCAACTTCAGGCCCAGGGCATCCATTGCCATAATCTGCCTCAAAGTGGGATGGTTTAGCCACTCTAGTTTAAAGCCCTCCTGCTTAAATTGGAAAGCTTGTTGCCAGAGATGGTCTACCCCTTCTGGGGAGTCTTATTGCTTTTCATATACTATTTTCATATTACTAGATTAAGGTTGAGTTTCTGTCATCCAGCAGCCATGGTTTGCGGTTCAGGTTGCATGTTTGGTTTATGATGTGCCACTTAAGAGGATAATGAAATCCCTTGACGCTTTCTTGGCCACTTTCTCAGTGTGGTTTGACTCCACACAGGGGTCATTTATGCCTTCAAAAAAGGACAGAAATACTCCTTGCTTTGGCACTTTTCTGGAGGCTTGACTGCTCCAATTGGCATATAATATAGTCTCTCATGAGGAAGCTCACGAGAACTTGCCCTTGCAGCCCAGAAAGCCAGCCATATCCTGGGCTGCATCAAAAGAAGCATGGTCAGGAGGACAAGGGAGGTGATCCTGCCCCTCTACTCTGCACTGCTGAGATTTCAGCTTGGGATCTGTATCTAGATGTGGAGTCCTCAGTACAGAAGAGATGTGGACCTGTTAGAGTGCATTCAGAGGAGGACCACAGAAATAATCCAGGGTGGAGTACCACTCCTGTGAGGACAGGTTGAGAGAGCTGGCGCTGTTCAGCCTGGAGAAGAAAAAGTTCTGGGGAGACCTTAGAGCAGCCTTTCAGTATCTGAAGGGGGGCTATAAGAAAGAGGGAGACAGATTCTTTATCAGGGTCTTTAATGATTGGGCAATGGTTTCAAACAAAAAGAGGGGATATTTAGATTGGGAATAAGGAAAATGGTTTTTACAGTTTTGCCCAGAGAGGTAGTGGAAACTCCCTCCCTGGAGATGTTCAAGTCAGGCTGAATGGGGCTCTGAGCAACCTGATCTAGCTGTTGATGTCCCTTTTTGTTGTAGGGGAGCTGGACTACATGACCCTTAGTGGTTCCTTCCAACTCAAATGATTCTCTAATTCTAAGCTGTAAGCTGCCATGAGGCCTCCCCTCATCCTCTTCCTCTTTTATGTCTGAAGAAACCAAGTGACTTCAGTTGTTTCTTGTATGTCTTGTCCTCTTAGACCCTTCACTATCATGGTAGCTCTCTTTTGGACAGTCTCTAATAGCTTTACGTCCTTATATTGAAGCACCCCAAACTGCTCACAGTGCTCAGGGTGAGGCTGCACAGAGCAGAGCAGGACAATCCCTTTCCTCTCCTGGCTGGCAGTGCTGGACCTGATGCACCCCGGGGTACTGTTGGCCTCTTGGCTAGTTTTGGCTTCAGAGGCACTCTGCTGATTCAGTTTCAAGTTGGCATTAACCAGAACGCTCGGATGCTGTTCTGCAGGGCTACTCTGCAGCCTCTCAAGAATGAGAATTGTTTTCTTAATGGATATGCAGTAAGAGATGATGCTATAAGGAATGCATGTAATAATGGAATGTATAATAAATGAATGCAGAGGACAGGGGTGTTCAAGGATCTTGCATTCTACTGAGATAAGAGTAGGAATAATCTGCGAGTTGAAAATCATTTTGAGCTCTTTTAAAAGTTGTTTTTGAAATTTCTGAGCGAACTGCAGTTTTCTGTGGTCCTTACTTGCTCTGTAGGAAACCTCACCTTGAGATTGACTATAATGAAAGAAAAAGACTTTCCTTACATTATTTCAGGTAGTACTGAAGCTTTTGTTTCCATTTTGCTATTCATTGTGGGCTATTTTTAACCATTGCCTCTTCCCTACTTAGTATTATCGTGTGTGGTACTGGTTTTCTTTGTTGAAATAAATAGATCATTGAGGCATTATTGAGAGGACAGCAAAAAAAAATGTGTGCATTAGCAATGCAGTGGTAGCACTGTTACTGCTGTGATCTGATAGAAGTACACGGTCGTGGAGTGTTAAGCAAATTGCTTTTTTAAGGAGGTTGCCATTATGTCTTGTCCTGTCACTTGACACCCTTGAAATGAGCCTGGTTCCATCTTCATTGCACTGTTCCTTCAGGTATTTATAGAAATTGATAAGATCCCCCCTCTTCTCCATGCTGAACAGTCTTATCTCTCTTGGCCTTTCCTTGTAGGACAGGTGCTCATTGTTTAATCATCTTTGTGGTCCTTTGTTGGATTCTTTCCATTACGCTTGTATATGCTTATACTGAGGACCCCAAAAATGAACACAGTGCTCCAGGGATGGCTTCACTAATGCTGAATAGAGGAGAAGGATTTTCTTAAGTCTTTCCTTACTCTTCTTTTAGGAAATAGTAGCAGAAGGATCACACTACCAAGAATCTCAGACCTCTCATTTCCTTAATGAGTGTTCTTATTGCTGCTAAACTGTTAGAAGTAAATGTAGTAGATGGTCAAGGAAGAAGTGTGTCATGCTCCAAACCGCTCCAGTGGTCCAGGTAGCAGTAACAATTTTGGCAAAAACTGAGTTCTTGTCTAAAAGTGCTCTGTCTTGTCCAATTCATGACAGTGCATAAATGTTTCTGTCTCCATAAGAGGATGGCAGTAAGCATGCATGGGAACTCTTACTTAACTGTTAATAATCCTCCTTCTCTCTCTCATCATCTGTTCTCTCATCAGCAGTGATCTGTCTTCTTTTGTCATGCTGACTGCTTAAACTGTTTGTAACAGAAGTTGTGTTCAGTCCATCAGACCACAAAATCATACTGTGGACCACAGAAACAGTGGTTACACCATTCCTCACATCATCCTACACTTCCAAAGTTATCTGTTTCTCCTTTTTGTTGTTAGTGCTTCCTGCCATGGTGGAAACAGAACAGTTCTTTTTTGCTTGTGAGACAGTACCAAATATTTGTCATGTCCAGATGGATTCAGTGTACTAGTATCTAGAAAATACTGATTTGTCAGAGGAAGGTGTGTTCTGTGTGTATTGTATTTGATTTCCGAGTTACTTAGAACAGTTTGAACAATTAAGGCTTTGCAAACAACCAGTTGAAGTTAACATGGCCCCTGAATATATTTGTTTATCTAGACATCTTCGATGACTATGTGGAGCATTTATTGTTGTCTAATCATTGCATAGAAGTACAGTATTCTGTTTTAATAGGAATCCTGGAAATGAGACCTGTGCCTTCATATGCCTGAATTCTAGGCTGCAACATCCCTGGTCTCACTAACACCGATGTGTTTTGAGCTGTTTATGTCTTCCTTTGATCTTGGATGATAATTTTAATTTCTGTACCTGTGTTCCCACACTGCCTTTTTCTCCACTGTTGCCCCTCAACATCTTTTGAAGGCTGATGCACAATATATGCGTATTCACATGACCTGGCTTTGTGCCCAGGAACTAAGGCTTCTGGTGCATTGTGGGCTGTCACGTGCCTGTAGAAGGCATTCATCACCTGATGGCTGCCTAATTCAGGTGCTCGTGTTCAGATTCCAACCATGCCTTTCCCCTTTTCGTTGACTTTAAGGAGGGTTATACAGATTTCCAAATTTAAATCTAACTGCAGTGCTTTAAGCTAGGTGATACCAATGCTTCTTCAGTATAGTCTCTTGAATATTATCCAGTTTTATCATTATTACAGGCCTTTTGCATTAATATTTGATTATACAACTAAAGAACATTTTAGTGTCTCTTGTATATTTCAGTATATTTCGTTTTCAGGATTCTCAACTTAACTTGTGACAGTTCTCAACATTCGTACTTCAGTGTCTGTGCTCTGGCTTTGTTTTCATTCTTTAAAAGTCATGTGTTTCTACCTGATACCTTTCCTTAAGAGACTAATTCATGTAGTGGATTGATAGCTTTTGTGTTCCAACTCAGGAATCTCATGATTCTATCCCATTCCTTGGATTTTATATCAATCAACACTTGACTTATAAAGCATGTCATTCTGTACTCAAGTCCTTGAGCTACTGCAGTTGTAGCTTTGCTTACCAACCAGCTCTGTAATTTAACCCACTTTTGCAGTGGTAATGAAGAATCTTTGTTAGAGGTTGTCTTCTGTTCATTCATTTACAATGAAGGTTATTTATTTTCACTAACTTTTATTCACAGCTTGCATAAACTAAATCTTAATAGTGTTTTGTTTTGTTTTTTTTTTGGTATAGAATAGAAATCTGTAAGAATACCTCACTCTGCTAAAGGGAATGTTCCTTCTTCTGTATTCACAGCTTGGAAGGCAAGACTCCTGAAATGAAACTTACTGCTCTACTTTCAAGGAGAAATTCTTTTCTCCTCAACCACTAGCAGATAGGTTTTGGGGTATGTTTCATGGTATGCCTCCAGGAAGAAGCACTAATAATGACTTCATAAACACATTTCCTGCTATACTGTCATGTTTGATGAAGTCGTAAAAGCTGCCTGCCATTAAGTTATCCCTGCTAACATCTTACTTTGTCTTCGCTGCTCTTGCTGTGTTTCAGAACAGATGAGTTCATCCAAAAGACAATCCGTGAAAAGTTTGCTCAGTGCACAGTTCTGACCATTGCACACCGCTTGAACACCATTATCGACAGTGACAGAATTATGGTAAGAATTAACAGTTTAAATTTATTTTTTTTTCCCTGCAAATTGATAATTTTGTTTACTCTCCTTACTTTTGATTGAGAAATGGTCAGAAGTTTAAGTTGTAATTTAAGACTTATCCTAGATATCCTAGGGGCTGTGACAGGCAACTCGTGAAACTGTAGTGGTAATGACCTGAAAAGACTGCTTACATTTTCTCACTCTGTGGTTTCCAACCTGCCAGGCACAAACCCATTGCAGGTGAGGTGCAGCAGCAAACTTAAGCAAATGATCTCTGTCGGTACTAGTGAAGACACACCCAAGTGCTCTGGACAGAGTCAGCTGGATTCAGTCAAGTTTATTAATTCAGTCTCGGTGGGCTGAGGGAGGCAGTGCAATATTTAGTGGTGTGGAATGTATGAGAAGGAAGTGGTAGAGGTTCTGGAGCAGGAGATGTTGGTAACAAGGCAGCAACTGCCCTGGGGCAAGGGTGTTGGTTGGAGAACTGGAGCTAGACGGGTGAGGAACTGAACGTGGCCAGCTTTACAAAGCAAGGTTCAGACAGAAAAGATGGAGTATTACCAATCCAGCAGCCTCTGCCATCTTTGTTCCCGACGGAACAGCGGTATATTCTGCTAATGTGAAGCACCACATGGTGCCTGCCCTGTGATGCCTTGCACACACACAGAATGAAAAATATATATTTGCTGATTATTTTCATAAAGGCAGTGGTCTTCAGCTCTCAGGAGCTCAGTCTGGTTTGTGTCCTTGAAACGATGTTCTATCTGCGCTTTTGCAATTTTCTTCAGTAGCAGCAGGAGCCTATTGCAAACATTTTCTTCACAGTCAGTTAATGGGGTAACTTACTAGTGGGCAAAGCTTTTGTGAGTGGAATTCAAATTTAAATGTGCGTCAAACAGAAATTACCCATATCCTCTCAGTGGTAACTTTAAAAAATATTTATGAAACTTTTTTATATTAAAATGAAGTTTGTTAATTCTTTCAGTATTGTTTTGTGTGGTTGTTCTTTCTTAACTGGATGCCCAGAGCATTTTAAAATCTGTGATTGAGGTACAATGGTAGCCCGAAGTATGCAAAATGAAACAATTGGACCTTCTGAGGTGAATGATGTTCTAAGGAATAGAGTACAGCAGATTGTGAACTGAGTGATTATAGTTTACTTACGAAGAGAGAAACCAGCAGAACTGCCATAATAAGTCATGTAATTGCAAGCATTTAAGGTATAATAAATAAATATTTTCCTCACTGGTGAATACCTCCCCACAAGTCTAATGGATATGTTGGTGTTCTCTACAAGTAAAGTGAACAAAAGACTTGTGAGGAAACAACTGTGACCTAATTAATAGCTGTATGTGTTTGTTAGCTGTCCAAAGGGATTTCTGTGGGTTTTGGTTCATTAACTACCATTAACATGTTATGCACAGAATGTTCTTTCCATGGAGATGTTTTCTTAGTTTTACCTTTTAATATTGTGCAGTTGAAATAAAAACTAGATGTTTTTATTTACTATTTTGCTAAAAACATTTAATTAAAATTGGAAGTTACTCTTCAGATTGTTCAGTATAACTGCCAACAGTATGACTACTCTATTATATGTTAAGATCCTGTATCTTATTTTTGACCTTCCATTGTTTCAGTTCAGCCACAATCAAGATCTGACCTTCCTAAAGGTCCGCTTTTACATTATCTAGTACAGTGTTTTTAGAATGACTTTAGCCTCTTTAGAGTACATTAAGGAAAAGATTTGCAAGAAGGTCTACTTTAGGGTCTGCAATCATTAGTGTCTCCAGTGTTTTTCATCTTTTTACATTACTTCATTTGATCCTTCGTATTACTCTAATTCTGGGAGGAAGTAAAGGGTGAGAAATATTAGAAAATGGAGGAAACTGGCACGTTGACTCAGTAACAAACCTGTTTTCTTGACATCCTTATTCAGAGTTACTGATTCTGCTTCCAAACAAATTGTAAACTTTATATTGTTCGAGGAGTGATCAGAGTTACGGCAGGTGTGCTTTTGTTATATTTTTTAATTACTTGGTTTACTCAGGCATGTAAATCCTAGTGGGAATATAATGCAATTTTGGAAGAGTAAGAAAAGTCTGTGCGTTAAAAAATATAAGGAACAGGATAATCATAGAAGGCAAACTGTTAAGGAGTACCATTAACAATAAAAACGGCTTCCACAGAAAAGTAATGTTTTATTTAAATATTAAGAAAATTGGGAAAACTCAGCTAAAGAGAGCTTTCTGCAAATTTTAAAATTTAGTGTCTCAAAATTTTAATGTGTTTTAGTAATTTACACATTTAACCTTTGTGCAGATTCTTTACAAGTATAAAAATGCACAGCTGAATTGCACTGTTATTCCAGTATCAGGTATTATTAAAACTTCTGTTTTTCTCTCTTGTTTAACTGAGATGTATGGATAAAATAATGCATTCCTTTATATGTAATCCCCATCTCTGTTGTCTGTCCTGGTAAGTTTGGTAGAAAATGAATGAAGGAGAACAAAGATGGAACCTCCTAGTTGGAATATTATCAATTATCTTTTGGCAAGCAATGAGTAAACTTATTTTTCAAATAAATGTTGGGCAAACCCGTTCAGCTTTCTTAACTTAATAGTCCAAAACCCATTCCTGAACAAGTATACATAACTTGAGCTCTCCCCTCATTGAATCATTTAATGTGGAAGGAACCAAAGGAGGTCTCTAGTCCTATTACAAGTCAAATTGTTCAGGGCTTTATCCTGTTGCGTCTTGAAAACATCAAAGATAGAGATTCTGTACGTTTATGGGCATCCTGTCACTGTGTTTAATTATCTGCCAATAAATCTGTATTTTTCCTTATATCCACTTAAAACCTCACCTCAGTACGTGGCAAAAGCTCCTTGTTTTCCCACAGTATATTTCACTAAAGACCGTGGCTCTTGTCTTCTGACTAACTTTATTGTAGGTATGAAATTACTCCTGTTGAGTCTCATAAAGCCATCTGTTCTCCTCAGTGAACAAACTGCTCTGTTAGCCTGTCCTCTCACTGGGCTGATGCTCCAGTGCCCTTATTATCCTGCTGAATGTGTTTCAAACTTCAAACCAGAACTTTAAACTTCAAACTTTACCCTCGCCTTAATTGTTCTGGGTAAAAGACGAAGGGCAAAAGAGCATTGGCAAAACTGTTGCTGGTACTGATCACAAGGGGTTAGCCCATTACAGATTTGGGTCTTTACATCTGTCCGTGTTGTTTGTCATCAGGTTCACGCTGAACTGTTCTTTTAGCTTGTCTGCATATAGATGCCCTTGATTGCTATCCTGTCTTAAGCACACTGACTGCAGTTTTCAGTTTGACATTGTCCACATGCTTTTGATCTAATTCCATTTAATTGCTAGTTAAACCAGAATTTTCCAAAAAGATGACATCCATCATTAGGGTTAATCCGAGCATTAAAAAGAACAAACAAACAAATAAATAAATAAAATAGAACAAAATAATTCTGAGAAAGTCATGAGAAAAAGTCAAGTTGGATGAGTATGGAAATAAGAACTGAACGTGAACTGTTGCATGTCTGCTCACACCCATTGTAATAACCGGTTCTATTTTAAAAGAGAAGAAAGCCTACTGGAAGAGGAAAAAAAGGAAGAACAAAATACGTTTTTATACAACTGTAGACAAATCTGGCCTCGGGAGTTGTTTTAATTCTCGTTTGTTCTATTCCCAAAACCATACCTCTGGTTTCATAATCCAGGTCACGCCTTAAGAGTATTTCCATTATATCCATCTTACTGATAAATCCACTTTATCAGAACTTCAAACGCATAAAATCGTTGAGGGAAGAGCTGCATTGTGTAATGTGATACTCTCTAGCCCAATCACCTCAATGAGTAATCCTCCATTGCACTTGCATAGGACTTTTCATCTGGAAATTGTAACGCTCTTTACAAACATTAATTAATTAAACTTCAAACACCTGGGTGAGATAGGGAAGTATCCATACAATCTTTGGAACCAAAGTTGGAAAGACTTGTTAAGTCAGGCCATCAAATAATCCTACCATAAAATTATAATCCAGTGGTTTTCAAACTTTTTTTTTTCCCCCCTGTGCTGTTCAAGACTACTATAGGATATTTTCTCACTCGTGTTTCCCTCATTATTTTAAGAACCCAAGTTGTAGCTCCTCCTACCCGATGCCTACTTATACTCATTTTAGCCATTTGATATAAGCAGCCTCCTTTCTCCCTAGCAAAGGGGGGAGGATGGGAGAAATGCTACAGTTTCCTCTCTTCTAGTGGCAAATCCTGTGAAAAGCTCAGTCCAGGCTTGCTCCACTAGCCCCCCATTCCACATAGCATCCCCACCACCACAACAGCTGCTTCCCTATCATTTTCTCACCTTTCAGTGTGAGGGCCTTTTACCTAAATCACGTCTGCAGCTCACCAAACCCAGTCAGGAGCAGCCTGGGGCAGCCAACAGGCACCACTCCCAAGACTTCCAGTGGTATCTTGTAAAATCCGCATCACCCATTCCTCCCCCTCTTTTCTGCTTCCTTGTCCAGGTTGAGAAATACTTTTTAGAAACTGTATTTTTAGAGAAGAGAGAAGCTGAAGCATGCAGAAATTGAAGCTCACCTAGGGAAGCAGTGAATCAGTAGCAAATTAAGTATGTGTGTCTGGCAGGAATCTGATGCAGTTCTTTGTTCTGGTTGCTGTGCTGTGGTCTTTCGGTAGGAAAGTCTTAAAGTAGTGAAGACTTGTGCATTTTCCAATGACAAGGATGTTTCTCCACAGAGACTTTTCATATTAGTAAAATACTTATTTGAAATGAAAGCTCTTTATGCAAGCAGAACTTGAACTAGTAATTAAAAACTGTCATTCAAATAGGAAATTTTTGAGGATGAGAACCATGGGAAGAGATCTGATTTATTTATGGGAAAACCTGTTGTGGCTATGTACTGAAGTGACTTAATACTCATGGTTAACAGTGCAGTGTACCTGATAAACGGACCTAAGGTCTT